AAATAAACAAATTAATCAGAAATATTTTTTTCGGAAATTAATCAACCATAATTTTTTTACTAACATGATCGTGGCAAAAACTTGAGAAGGTCTGTTTGTTTTTCTATCAACAAAGCTATTACATCAGTTGCATTCTTGATCTCCAAATATACATATTCAATGGTACATAGCTTATATACAAATAATTCGTATTATAAAGCATATATGATCATAATAATAGTGATCAAATAAGATCAGAAGTTCAACTTCTTAAGAAGCCGTGAGAAGAAGCGGGAAAAAGTAACCCTATAGCCCATCGTTGCCTATTGAGTGATATGAAGCCCGAGAGATTTTGCAAAAGTGCTCACCTATTGATTGATGATGTTCCATGAAAGGCGAGAGGAAGAAAAACTATGGAGAGAGGACGGCGTGAATCTGGGGAGGAGATTAAAGAGAAAAAAAATACATAAGATTTGAATACAGGCTACCCAATTGAAAAGGGTACTTAATTCTTTTTTATTACTTTTTTTATTTATTTATTTTATCAGTAAAACTGATTTATCGATATTTATTATTAAAACACATAAAAGGTTAGTGGAATAAACCTACTCACAAGTTAACAGTCAAGTATTGTCTATATGTATGTTTCGTAGATCTAGAGAGAGAATGGGTTGGCCGAAAAATGCGTAATTAGAATGAAAGAGGGAGGGCACTGTGGAGTTTTTAGCAAAAAAAGGTGGGGACCTCCACATGACACTTGGATGTATGATGACCACTTTTGCATTTTGAAACATGGCAAACCACCCCCTCTTCTCCGCATTTTTCGGCCAACCCTCTTCCTCTCTAAAATATCTTGCACCCACACATACACACACACAGAGACATATATATATATAATTTACATGACAAATTAAATTATAAATGAAAATAGAGAATCAGGTGAAATTCCCGTGCACCAAAAATGGATCCCGACACCGAAAACTCCAAAGATGATCCAGTTACGTTTCTAAGAGCAGCTCCATTAGTGCTCTGCTTGGCGAAAATGGCCCAACTTTTGGAGACTGCATGCTCCAATAGAATATGGGAAAAGTGGGCCACCATTTTGTGATCGCCATGGAGGTCGCCAAAAAGGGCGATTGGGGCTCACTTGTTGTGTGCCCATTTTTGTTTTTTTGTTTTTTTGTTTTTGTTTTTTTTTTTTTTTTTTTTAATTCAGGCCTAGAACACTGTACCAACCCAAAACACTATTCCTAAGGGCATGTTTGGCTAAAAAAAAAAAGAAGCTAAAATTTAGATTTTTGGCTTACTTTGCTCTCTCTCTTTTTTCCCTCAAAATAATTGAACCAAAGAGCCGTTAAGGCACTGTTTGGCTGACACAAACAGTGCCTTAAAGGCTTTTTTGGGCAAAAAAAAGTTTTAAAAAATTGTAAAAAAGTGATTTTTTTTCGTTTTCAAAATTTTCAATATTCCTATTGACATTATAACCGTTTTAGGTACTGTTTGGCTGGCCCAAACAGTGCCTTAACGACTATATTGACTAACCAAACAAAAAAAAAAAATTTATTTGATTTCCCTAACAAATTGAAATTTATTTTAAAATATAATTTTTTTACTAAAAAAAATGTGTCTTTGTTTTCACTATAAATTAATAAATCAAATGATATTACATTTTGTATTGTTAACAAGATTTCATACATATTGCTAAATAATTTAATCAACAAACAATTTAATTATTTATTTCAAAATAAAACATTACACAATAAATATTCCATCATATAAACTTCATAACAATTTTAAAATAAAATAATGCAACATAAATAAAACATGTTCTTCACCAAAGCGGTTCCACAAATTTTCAATTAAATCTTTCCTCAATAGCGTATTTGTCTCTTTGTTGCGAATTTGGACTTGGCGAGAGTAGATGTGTGCCGTTAAAATCGATGGATTTTGAATTAAAGCAGGAATCGAGATTGTCTCCTCCGGTGGCGAAGTCCATCTTCCAACATTAGCATGATGCTCATCTTCAATGATCATGTTGTGAAGGATGATGCACGTTTTCATTATAAGGCACAAGTCCCCTTTATCCCAAAAATGGATTGGTCTTTGCGTTATTACCCACTTGCTCTGCAAGATCCCAAAAGCTCGTTCCACATCTTTCCTACAGGCCTCTTGTCTCTGAGTAAAAAAGTTTTTTTTTATGGTAGTTGGGTGCGGGATGGTCTGCATCAAAGTTACCCACTTAAGGTATATACCATACGATAGGTAATACCCTATTGTATGGTAATGGCCATTCATAACGAAATTGACTGGAGGAATTTGGCCAGTAATGATACTGTTGAATACCGGAGAATGATCCAGCACATTAATATCATTGTGTGAACTCGGCATTCCAAAGAATGCATGCCAGATCCACAAATCTTTTAAGGCAACCACTTCCAATATGAGCGTAAGCGTATGAAAGCGTCCTTTGTGCATGCTATGCCACGCCACCAGACAATTCTTCCACTCCAGTGCATACAGTCGATGGAACCAAGCATACCCAGGAATCCTCTCTCCTCCCCTTCTTGAAGTAGTCATGTTATGTCGGCTTCGTTGGGTGGGCGCTTGTACTCTTCCCCATACACACCAATAACAACCTTACAAAATGTCATCAGGGTTTCAATGGCAGTGCTCTCGCCGATTTTAATATACTCGTCACAATGATCGGCTACACAACTATATACGAGTATACGTATTGCAGTTGTCATCTTTTGTATAGAAGACAACCCCAAATGACCTGTTGCATCCCTTTTTTTGGATGAAGTAGTCGTCATAAGCTTTAACATCATTCAGGATACGAAGAAATAGTTCTCGTCACATCTTGAATCGTCTATGAAAATACTCCGGTGGATATGTGCAATTCTCGTCAAAGTAGTTTTTCATTAGTTAACGGTGGCTTCCCTCTTGATCACGATGAATGTACCGTCTCTTACGCAGTTTAAAAACTTGTTCTACTATCTCTGGGTTCACTGAATTCAAAATCTCACGAAAGGTGTCCTGATTACGTTGAATCATTGAATCAATAAGGTTATCTGATGAAGAGGATGATGAAGAAGATGAAGAATTAGAGCCAAAGGAAAAAATCGTGATGAGGAAGCCATTGGAATTTTGAGATTGAAAGAGATGTGAATTGATATTTTGCTAGAATAAGTTGAGATGAATGTAATGATGATGAGATGAACAAATGGTTGTTTATATAATATAAAAAATATAACCGTTAGAAATATAGTCGGTAGGAAAAAGTTAAAAAATAAATTTTATTTTAAATTTTAAAAATATTAAAATTTTTGAAGAGCAAAAATGCACCATTGGAATACATGTGATAGTTAAAATTTGGAGACTCTAAAACGCTGATGTGGCTATTGAAAAATACTGATGTGACAAATTCGAATAGCCTAATTTCAGAGAGTCTTTTGGAAATAATCTAAGAGTCTTAAACTCATAGAAATGACACAAACAATCCCCAAGACCCGCACGACACCTAAGACCAAATACAAAAAATAAATAAAATAACAACACCGAAAATTTTGAAAAAATTCCAAACATTACACGAATGCTTTGAAGGAACACAGAAAAGAACCCATCCAATTAGAGCGGTATTCCTCAGCGAGGAAAGAGCACTTCAGAGTTTATTAGTAAGCATTTCAAAGTTTATTCGTAGAGAAATGCTCTGAAACAACACAGAAAGGAACCCATCAAATGCGAGGAAAGAGCACTTCATAATTTATCCGTAGAAAGGAATGCTCTGAAAGAACACGCAAAAGAACCCATCGAATTAGAGTGGGGTTCCTTTGCAAGGAAAGGACACTTCAAAGAGAGCAATGCTCTGAAGGAACACAGAAAAGAACATATCCAATTGGAGCGAGTTCCTCTGCGAGGAAGCGAGAAAGGACCGTGAGCTCTTTCATCAGGTAGATGCTTTCAGAATTGGCATTTTGGGGCCATGTGGCCTTATAATAATGGTATAAAAGTGGCAATTGACGTGGAATGCACATTTACAAAGATTAAAGGGGTTGGGTCGGCGAAGGTCTCTGATGAGTGAACAGGAAGGCTTGTTATTTGCAAGAGAATAAAATAAAAATAAAAATTGAATTCTTCACCTTTGAATCAGGATTCTTCCTGTTCTATGTGTGTCAAATAGGCGAGAGAATTTTATTGTGCTTAGAAAGGATTTTATATATACTCGTATATATCAAGACCAACTAAAGCTTCCAATATGGGTCCTTTATCCGTTCTCCTCTCCGTCACCCATCATTCAACCCCTATCTTCATACTTCTTCAATCATGATTTCCTTACACTTATACCCCACCCTTTACCCATGATCTTTTCACTACCTCATCTGCTCGAAATTTTATGTATAATGATTATAATCTTTGTTTTCTTCTTACCGTACATCCAGAAAATTTGGAAGCTTACCCATACATCCATCTTGCAAGTAACTAAACCCCAAATTATTAAAACCTTGCGAGTTGCTAATATAGCAGAAGATGACATGCACCGGGAACCATACATCCAACCTAGTAAATAGCTCATTTTGAATCTTCCGAATGAACCCGTGCAATAATAACCAAAAGTCTGTGACACATCATCATCATACACCATGCCATTTGAAATGGTTTTTAATTACCTCATCCCACACTAATTTTCTGTGTCTCTTACCTTCCAAACACAACCTATCATTTTGCGTAGATCATTCATCTTTATCAACAAAAACCTTGGCAATTGACTGCGTTCACACTCTATAATACTTCTCCCTTGTCTGAATCTCTATATGATTCTCTTCTCGAGTGAAAGAAAAATATTGCAGTTTTTTTTTCGAAAGGTTAAAAAAGAAAAGAAAAAAAACGATGGGGCATTCTCCCAACCCAAACAACCACCTAGGACAGTACCTGAGTGGCCATTATCTCTCCTCCCTCCATTAACATGAAAAATGAAGATTGAGGAAAACAAGAGTACTTAATGGGAGAACCACACAACCAGATAAGATATACTACCTTTCATTATAAACTATACTTTTCTGTACAGTGCATTATAATCTTCAGAAATTATTCTACCTATAAACCTTAAAGATGTTGTCCATAACTCATGTTTCCGTAATAATTAACATGCCAAAAGAAAAAGACATGCACCCCCGCGCGCGCACGCACACACAAGGGAGAGAGGACTCTTTCAGGTCCCATTGCCAATGCAAGTTACACTGCCCCCGCAATGCTTCTGCTACAGCTTCATCCTTATATCTATTTTTTTTCCTGTAGCATTGAGCTATTTTCTTTTCTCTCACTTGTAGAATAATCTGCAAAACTAGAGTAAAAATGTAAATTAAGCAGATTGCATAACATGCCTCAACCTCAATTACTTTAAAAGGGGGGAAAAGAAAGAAAAACTGATCATCCTCAAGCAAATCCAATCTTTTAGCTCTGTGAATAGTCTAAATCTCCTATGTTTCAAATAATCAACTTTCTTAGACATTGAATAGTTAAATTTCTAAGCTTCAATAACCAACCTTGGGCTTCAAATAGTATAAAGAAACTTGATTTCAAATAACCATAACCTTACAAACTGACTTAAATTTCCGAGGATTCAGATAATCAACTTTTTAGGCACCGGATAATCTAGTTGGTTTCATATAAAAGCTTAAGTAGGATTCAATAATCTCACTCTTGATTTTCAATAATCGTTAAACAGACTTGAGATAGTCTGAGTCTGTCTGACATTCGGTTTCAAGCAACCACATAGATGGACTTCAAATAGCTTTTGGTTTGGGATAACCACCCAAATAAACATTGAATGGTCCAAATCCTAGGTTAAAGATTGAGCCTCATTTTCTTTTTCTTTTTTTTTTGTAACTATCATAACTAACATCCCACCTTGGACAAATGTGGTGGAGGACAAAACGCAAACACGACAAAACTGGTACAGGAAACAGAATACAAGATAATTAACATGTTCCTAATGACCCATGCTAATTTAGGAGAACAGTTTGGTTGTTGACTCATGTAAATTACCATTTCATCTTTGTTTCAAGACTGACAATTTTGATACTACTTTAGGTACGGGTAACTGTTTATTTTTTATTTTTTAAATATCATGAACTCCTCCAACCATAACCTGAACTGGAATCTAGAAGGAAACCAGTAATAACAAGCAATCAAGAAAAGCCGTGGCAAACCAAAAAAAAAAAGGAAAAAAAAGAGGCAAGAGAGAGAAATTACTTCCATCGAAGCTAATATTTAAGATAAATGCATACCTGGGTATTGAATCAGTGATGCACACCCTCCTCATGGCCCTCAATCATATGTAAGTTCTTGCAACCATGCAAATCCAAACATTTCAATCCTTCCAATTTGTAAAGTCCTTCGATCTTATCAAGTTCTGAGTAATCAGTAATATATAATACTTCCAACTTCTTTTGGTTTGACAGATCTACCTTCTACTCAAGGTCTTCATGCTGGGGGGCACCCCAGCATGCTGCACGCTGCCAGTGATGGTGTGGGCACCGTGCCTAGGCACCGGATCCTTTCTAGGCATTCGGCGTGTGCTTCTCGAAGTTTCAACGGTTTTGACGTGCTTCGACTGTTCAAGCAGAAAAACGTTAACTACCACATTGCACACATACATGTCCAACCTTGTCAATGATTCTAAATTTCAAAGCTCTTGAATGGATGTCAGCGTCATGAAACTTTTGAGTGAATTTCAACAAAATTCAAATCTAACAGATCCAAAATTTACAATTAAACAACTCACCTGGGAAAAAAAAATAAAAAAATTACAATTAAACACAGATAACTCAACAGGACTCGAGGGTAACCTGAGTACACTGAAGGTCATGGCAGAATTTTACATAGAAAAACTTCAGCTGAGAAAGGCCACCAATGTCTTCTGGTAGGGTCCTAGTGTTGGTAGAATCCAAGGTCAATTTCTCCAATTTGGTTAATTGTCAAATATTTCTAGGAATCTTCACATGCTCACAGCCCCCAATAAAGTGCAACTCACATAAATTAATTAGAAATTGTAAGATGAAGGATAAAATTGAAAGCCAGACTCCTTAAGTTTGACAAACACTCAGAATTTTGGTATCATAAAAGCTCAAGAATCTCAAAGATTATGGATCCCCAATATTACTAGGAATGTCAACGCTTGAAACCTATCACTTTCAACTTCTCTAACATCCAAATTTCATCAGGTAACTTCCTTATATCAGTAAATGAAATGTCCAGCACTTTTAAATTCTTCAGATTACCTACGGATCGGTCAATTTCTACCAAACTTCTACAGTGTCGAAGAATCAATATCTCTAGAGTTGCATATGATGATAAGTCTGGAGTTCTCCTCAAAGCACAATCAGCCAGTCGTAGAACTTTCAACTTATTTTCCATCTGTTAAAAAATTTAACAAATAAAAGAAATTATTAATTTTAAACAAGTAAATGGTGGGATAGAAAAAAAAACAATAGCAGAGATATTATACAAAACCTTCATTTGATTCCAACCCCCCCAGTCTTCTGTGATGCCGCTATCAGATAGATCAAGAATGACTAAATTCTTCAAATGAAAATTGGTTGGTTTAAAATGTGGAGGGCAACCACGCCAACTAAGCCATCTTAAACAGGGAAACAGATGCTCAAAATCCCCAACAAGCTCTATGCCATCAGCTCGGAGATACCTTAGAGATATTAGTTTTGCGAATTCCTTACTTGTAAAGCGAGGCTTCTTTCCAGACCCCAATTCAAAACAAAGACTTAGGGCTTCAATCTTTTCCGTTCCCTGCCAATGCAAAAAATTAGTAAGCAACATATTAGGACCAGATTTCACAACCTACTACTTTAAATAAAGAACGGGCATAAAATTCAGTACACCCAAATCTTACCCTCCGTTCCTCCAATACATCCAAGGCATCCTCATGGTTCCACAACCTACTACGATTTCCCAAATTCTTTTCCTCAAACACAATTTTCCTACCGAGATTTCTAAACTGATCATGCATCCTCAGCTCATTAGTATCTCTTTCCACTTTTACAAGAGACATGAGACAAAGGACATTAAATTCCTTTTCCGGATGATAGCCACAATCATCCCACAAGTAAAATACAGTTGTTTTATCCATCCCGGTAAAAAGACATGCAATATCAAGAAATATCTGTTGTTGCGCATAACTTAATGCTTCATAGCTTACCCTCAATTTTCTCTCAACTTCACCATGAGATATTGTCTTCAGTTTCTTCAATGTATCATTCCATACCACTTTCTCTTTGTTAGATAGAAATGAACCTATAACCTCAAGAGTTAGAGGAATCCCTGCAGCAACGAATGCAACCTCTCTAGAGATGCTGTAATAGTCTATTGGAGGAAACTTCCTTCTAAAGGCATGCATACTGAAAAGTTGAAGAGATTGCTCAGAATCCATTAATGGAGGTTCATAAGTTGCATCCACTTTAATATCATTTAAAACATTCCTGTCTTTACTTGTAACTATGATCCTACTCCCTGAACCAAACCAGTCATGCTTTCCCACAAGCCAACAAAATTGAGAGCTTTCAATCACATCATCAAGAACAAGAAGAACTTTCTTTCTGCGAAATATGGTTTTAATCACATCCATTCCACCTTCAACATCAGAAATGTCAGGACACCATTTTAGGGTGTCAGTGAGAAGCTTTTTCTGCAAATCAACAAGACCATAAAATTCCTGAGCTGTTTCTCGAATATCAGCAAGGAAGCTATGACAGTCAAAGTTCTCTTTGAGAGCATCGTAGATGAGCTTGGCAATAGTTGTCTTGCCAATACCACCGATGCCGTAGATACCAACAATTTGTACTTCATTGGGGAAAACATTTAATAATCTCATCATTTCATTGAGCTGATGATCGATGCCAACCAAGTAGTCAGGTACATCCACGCTCTTCTTTTTTAGCTCTAACAACACCGCTGAAACAATCATCTCTTTTATTAATTTCCATTGATACCTGATTGATGTCAAGGGAGAAATAAAACAATAATTAGTGCGTAAAAGGAAGTTATAATTAACAATAAAGCAGAATAATGATGACTTCTACTTCTTTTATTCTGATTGGAAGTTATAATTGGTTGGACATTTTGAATTAATTAAAATACTGATTTTTAGTTATTTTAGGGACTAGAAATCTCATGAAACTAAAGATCATACAATTTATCTTATATTTTTGTTTATGTCCCTCTTATCAAATTTTTAAAATGAATTCCACCCATTGCCTGAAGCTTCTTGCTATTGTTTATGATTCTTGAATTCCTACACTATTGTTAGGTTTCATTGGTATAGAATAAGGGGCTTATTAGCAGGAATAAATTACTCATCCATTTCTGTCTTCACTTCCCAACCCTTCAATGCTCCAAGCTCTCTCAGTGCCTCCTTCCATTCCTTAACAGTCCCATCACTGAAACACATCTCGTGCTCTTTGAAGGCCTCCTCAAAACTCCCAGATTGATATTGCACATCTGATGGTTCAACATCATAGAAGATGGGTAAAATCATTTGTTTCGTAACTCTTTTGCACTCCACTATCTGGGCAAGCTCGCGGAGGCACCATTTACTGGAAGCATAGTTTTTGGAGAAGATTGGGATGGAGATCTTCGACGCCTTGATTGCCTTGAGCAGTCCTGGTCTCATCTCTTCTCCTGTGCAAAGCTCATTATCATATCGAAAGGTGCTAACCCGTAAACTGTTGAAATCGTGGTACAGGAAATCAGTGAAGGTGTCCTGGCCTCTAAAACTCAAAAAGACATCATAAACATATTCGCCTACTACTTCCAGCTTGTCTAACATCCAAATTTTATCGGGTAACTTCGTTATACTGAAAGACCCTGAAATGTCAAGCACTTTTAAATTCTTCAGATGACAAATGGATGGGTCAATTTCAATCAAATTTTTGCAGAATCGAATAATCAATCTCTCTAAAGTTGCATATGTAGAAAAGTCGGGAGTCCTAGTTAAAGCACAACAACTGAGATCAAGAACTTTCAACTTTTTTGCCATCTGCAACAAAGGGGGGGAAAATGAGAGATTGATTTCAAAAAATGATATGGACAGACACAAGAAACAAAGCAAAGATATTTTTACACGACCTTAATTTGATTCCAACCCTCCCAGTCTTCTGTGATGCCACTATGTGATAGATCAAGAATGACTAGATTCTCCAAATGAAAATTGGTTGGTTTGAAATGCGGAGGGCAACTGCGCCAATTAAGCCATCTTAGACAGGGAAAAAGATGCTTAAAATCCCCAACAAGATCTGCACCATCCACTTGGAGATACCTTAGATTTACTAGTCTGGTGAATTCCTCATTTGTAAAGTAGGATTCACGCACCATCTCTACCGAGTGAAGACACAGGGCTTCAACCTTTTCTGTTCCCTACCAATGGAAAACCTTAAATATAAGCAAAAACATATAAGACCAGATGTTTGTAATATGAGTTACTATCCCCGATCACTTATACTGCCCCAAACATCTGACTGCATTTTCCAGCTGAAATGGGTTATTAGTACCAAAATTGCATTGTACAATAGCATGAACTTTCATGAACACCATTTGTGTGTGACAATGTGTGTGTTTTTGCATTTCTATTAAGAGATGACATGAATGAGGATGAAGAGAGCATTAATTTATATAATAAGAGGCATGAAATATGGTGCACTCAAATCCTAGCCTTAGCCTCACCAAATCCAAAGCTTCTTCTTGATCTCTTAACAGACTACACTTCCCTGAATTCTTGACATTTTCATGACAGGCAATTTCCCTACCAAGATCTCTAGACCCATCATGTATGCACAAGCTCCTTATAATCATCTTCATTTTTACTAAAGACATTAAAAAATGGATAACAATTTCCTTCTCTAGATGATAGCTACATTCATCTCGCATGCAAAACACATATGTTTCAATGTAACTTCCCATAACACTTTCTTCTTGTCTAATATAAACAAACCTATAACCTTAGAAGTAGATGCAATTTCTCTATAGTTACTGTCATATTTTTTTAGCGGAAAACTCCTTCTGAAGGCAAGACAACTGAAAAGTTGAAGAATTTGCACAAGGTTTGTAAATTCCATTCACTTCAAGAGCATTTAAAACATACATTTCTCTCTCTACTTGTACTAATGATCCTACCTCATGGACCAACCAATCAAAGTTCCCCAAAAGATGATCAAATTGAGACTTTTCAATCACATCGTCAAGATTGTGAACTTTCTCTAAATCTGTAATTAATCAGGTCAGTTCCCCTATTAATAACAGAAATATCAGGGGTCCAATTAGGGTATCAAAAAGCAGTTGTTCCTGCAACCTTAGTTGTTTTGCCAATCACATCGTCAAAACTTGGAAATAGTTGTCTTGACAATACCAACCATGCCATGGATACCAACAATTCACACGTCATTGGACCCAATGTTTAGAATTCTCATCATTTGATTTTCATCATGAGATGTTGTGTGACCAATCAATGCCCATGTTGACAATAAGATGAACACGATTAATGCACCTGAATGTATATTATGAGATGACATGAATGAGGATTAACAAAACATTAATTAATTAAATAAGGGGCATAAAATCCGTGCATAAAATCTTACCATTTGTTTCAACAATACGGCCAAGGCTTCCTCGTGATTCCACAATCGACTAAGTTTTCCCAGATCCATAACATTTTCTTGACTGCCGATTTCTCTACCAAGGTCTCTAAGTAGATCATGCATCCTCAGCACACTACCATCTCCCAATTCTCTAGCTCGACGGACGATTTCTCTACCAAGGTCCCTAATTAGATCATGCATCCTCAGCACATTATCATCTCCCAATTCCACTAGAGACATCAGACGAAGGACATCAATTTCTTCCTTTGGATGATAGCCACAATCATCCCACATGTAAAATGCATATGTTTTATCCATTCCAACAAAAAGACATGCAATATCAAGAAAAATCTGTTGTTGCTCATAATTTAGTGCATCATAACTTATTCTCAACATATTGTAATGATAGCTGTAACAATCATCAGATGAATCATGTAGTAATGCATCCAAATTCGTCAATGTATGTTCCCAGACCACTTTGCTCTTGTCAGATAGAAATGAACCTGCAACCACAAGATTTAGAGGAAGACCTGCACTTCTGTATGCAATCACTTGAGAGAGACTATAATAGTCTGGTGGAGGGAACTCCCTTCTGAAAGCATGCATGTTGAAAAGTTCAAGAGATTGGTCCATGTCCAGTTCCCGGGGTCTATAAGTCACTCCAAGAAGATATAAAACAGATTTGTCTCTAGTTGTAACTATGATTCTACTCCCTGGCCCAAAGCAATTACAATTTCCCACAAGCATATCAAACTTCAACCTTTCATCCAGGTCGTCAAGAACAATAAGAACTTTCTTTGTCGAAAGCCTTTCTTTAATCTTGTTAATTCCACTATCAGTGTCAGCAATGTCAGGGCACCATTTTAGGGTGTCATCCAGAAGCTTCTTTTGGAGACTAACAGGTTCCTTTTCTTGAACCTGTTCAAGGAAGCTACCACAGTCAAAGCATTTCAAGAGTTTATTGTAGAGGAACAAGGCAATAGTTGTCTTGCCAATACCTCCCATGCCATGGATACCAACAATCCTGACATCATTGCAGCCAATATCTAACAATCTCATCATTTCATATTCGTGAAGATCCATTCCCACCAAAATGTCAGTCTTCTTCTTTAACCCTAACAACACTGCTGGAACAATCTTCTCTTTTCTTAGTCTTCCTAGATACCTGATTGATGTGAACAACACAAATAATTAAAGCAGAAAGGGAAATAAATTTCAAAAAAAAAAAAAAAAAAATGGGATGATGACATTTATACTTTTTTCGTTTTTCTTTGTTTTAAGTTATTATTATTTATTATAAAAAGTTTGAATTAAATAACAGCTCTAAATTATTTTAGGGACTAGCTAACTCACCAAAGCAATAATCATCTTTAAAATCTTTTTATATTTTTGTATATGTAAGTCTAATTCGATCTTTAATTTATCCCTCCCATTACCCGAACCTTCTCGCATATTGCTTGTGATTACTTAAATTCGAATACTATCTACCATGAAGTTTCTATACTACAAATGATGGGATTTACTAGCAATTAGCAAAAATAAATAAATAATGGGATTATTAGCAGGAAGGAATTTATCATACCCATCAGTTTTCTCCTTCACTTCCCAACCCTCGAGAGCTCCAACCTCTGCCAATGCCGCCCTCCATTGCTTGACAGTCCTTTCGTCAAAATACCTCTCGTGCTCGCGGAAGGCCTCCTCGTAACTCCCAGTTTGATGCTTCACATCAGAGGGTTCAACGTCGTAGAAAATGGGTATAATTACTTGTCCTTTAGTTCTCCTGCACTCCACCATTTGGGCGAGCTCGCGGAGGCACCATTCGCTGGAAGCATAGTTCTCGGAGAAGATTGGGATTGAGATCTTCGATTCCATGATTGCTTTGAGTTGTCTCGGATTAATCTCACCTCTTTTCCAAAGATTGTTATCTTCAAGAAAGAAGGTGTTAACTCGTACATTTATGAGATCCTCGTACAGGTAATCAGTGAGAGTGTAGGGAGTGTCTAGACTTCTGAAACTCAAGCATACTTCGTATTCCCTTTCTGGAGATGATGTGAATGCAGAGCGCGAAGCACTAATTGCTTTTGGCAACTCAGATGCGATCTCTTTGCCTTTGCCTTTTGGCAACTCAGATGCGATCTCTTTGCCTTTGCCAAGCTGGTCATCTCTTTGCGAAACACTAATTGCTTTGGGCAGCTCAGATGCGATCTCTATGTCTTTGCCAGGCTCTTCATCTTCTCGAATAAATTTGACAGCAGTGTCTAGGGCATCTGAGGTTTCATCCGTCCCACCTCCGAAGTGTTTTGTCACATCCGTCCCGCCTCCGAAGTGTTTTGTCACATCCTTCCCGCCTCCGAAGTTTTTTTTCATAGCGCGAAACACTGACTCAATCATGTTTGATTTAATAGCCCCGCGTCTCGACGGCCGAAACCCTTTATTTTTTTCCCCTTTCTGCGACTCCATCGATCAGCAACACTAATCGTATATCAAGCTAAATAAATCTTGTATGATTATGACTAACTCTATCAAATACAGCAAGCCCAGATCCCTTTATCTGTGTCTTCAGAGTTTTGGGCTTTGCGTCTGCGAATTTATGATTTTCTTTCACCACAATCTGATTCCATTACATAAAGATACTCCAACACAAGTATTTCAGATACCTCAATGGAGTTTGGGCAGTCAGATCTGCAAATTCTCTCTCCCTGGAGTTGCAAATTGATAAAGCCCGAAACAACCCCCATCTGCCCACGTTAAGTATTACAAATTACAAAGTGAAGTCAACAGGAACACGACAATTCTTTCCCTCTTTCGTGCAAGTGGGTTTCAAACGTCTCCAAGGGTGTGTTTTGTAAATTCACTTAATCTTATCTCGTTGTCTCTTTTGAATGGGCAAATTCCACTTTTTACCACCTTAAAATGAGTATGAGTATTGATATTTTGTCCTACCTAAAAAAAAAAATTCTATTACGTCTTTCACGTGTATGCTACTGTATGAGCTATTTTAAAATTTAAATATATCAACACACAACTGTTAACAAAAATTGAAAGATCTTTTTTTTCTCTCTATCCAAATAAAGAGATAATGTCCATCCTCTCTTCATATTCTTTTTGTGGAACGCGTGAAACTGCAATTATCATCTAAGACATGGCGGAAACCTTGAATATCTACCGCCGACGCAATCGAGCACCAATTTGACGCCCCAATTTGCAAAATTTATTTAAATTTCGATCAAATTGAATCTTTAAAGATTTGGGTTTGTGAAATTTCTGTTATTTATTTTCTATCACCTGGCTTTACTCCTTTATCAGTGTGTATATATATGAGAAATGAGAGGAAAAAAAAATTAACAAAATTCCACAAACCCAGATCTTAATTGCTTTAAAGTTGGAGTGGGAGAAAATTAAAAATCTTCCATCAAAAATCTTCTCTCTTTAATTTTCTGTGTGTTTTTTTTTTGGTAGAAATCTTATATGATATTAAGACGACAGATTAGGATAAAAATCTCATTCATTGTTATGAGTCTTTTAGTGGATAAAATATTTTATAAAAAGCCAAATTTCAAAGAAAAATATGAAGAGGATTAACATAAAAAAAGATGAAGACGATAAAAAAGGATGGAAGAAAATTACTGCAATGGTATTTTTGTCTAAAGAAACTTATTATATTTAATATGGTGTGAGGGCGCTTGAAAGAACCATTTATTTATTGCCACATTGAAATCGGTATTTTGTCAGTTTTTTTTTACTCGCCTAAAATATTTATAGTAAGTTTGAGTACTGCTATTTCACCCTACTTAAAAAAAACTGATATATTACTACTTCCACGTGTATGTTACTGTATGAGCTGCTTTAAAATCTAAATATATTAACACAGCTGTAAACAAAAATTGAAAGATCTTTTTTCTCTCTTATTCAAATAAAGAGATAATGTCCATCCTCTCTCCACATTCTTTATGTGGAACGCCGCAAAACTGCAATCATCATCGAAGACATGGCGGAAACCGTGAATATTTACCGTCGGCGCAATCGAGCACCAATTTGACGGCCCAATTTGCAAAATTTGTTCAAATTTCGATCAATGTGAATCTTTAACGATTTGGGTTTGTGGAATTTTTGTTAATTATTTTCTCTCATCTTAATTTACTCTTCTTTCTCAGTGTGTGATATGAGAGATGAGAGAAAAAAAAAAATTAACAAAATTCCACAAACCCATATCTTAATTGCTTTAAAGTTGGAAGTGGAAGAAAATTGAAAATCTTCCATCAAAAATCTTCTCTCTTTAATTTTCTATAATGAGTCTTTTAGTGGATAAAATATTTTATAAAGAGCAAAATTTCAAAGAAAAATATAAAGAGGATTAACATAAAGAGAGAAAAAAGATAAAGATGATAAAAAAGGAAATGAATTAATCATACGGTAGATATTCACGGCCTCCCCCATGTCTTTGATGATGATTATTGTAACGACCCACTCCACCACATGGTATTATATTGTCCGCTTTGGACCTGAGCCCGCACGGTTTTGCTCTTGGGCTTCACCCCAAAAGGCCTCATACCAATTGGAGATAATGTACTTACAGATAAGCACTTCACCTTTCCTCTATCCAGGCGATGTGGGACTGTGTACCCGTAGTTCGCCAACGTGGTAGCCTATCAGTGTCTCTCGCACTTGCCCACGACACACTCGCCCACAGAGTCATCACAATCCACCCCACTTGGAGGCTCGACGTCCCCGTCGGCACACTTCTGGTTGGGTCAGGCTCTGATACCATTTGTAACAACCCACTCCACCACATGGTATAATATTATTCACTTTAGGCCTGAGCCCGCACGATTTTGCTCTTGGGTTTCACCCCAAAAGGCCTCATACCAATTGGAGATGACACACTTACATAGTTACATATAAGCACCTCACTTTTCCTTTACCCAGACGATGTGGGACTGTACACCCGTAGCTCGCCAGTGTGATAGCATGTCAGTGTCTCTCGCACCCGTCCACAACACACCCGCCCACAGGGTCATTACAGTTGCAGTGGGGGTTCCACATAAAGAATGTGGAGAGATGATGGATATTATCTTTTTTTTTTGGATAGAGAGAGAAAAAAGATCTTTCAATTTTTGTTAACAGTGTTGATATATTTAGATTTTAAAGCCGCTCATACAATAACATACATGTGGAAATTGTAATATAGGTTTTTTTTAAGTAGGGCGAAATAACAGTACTCTAAAATTTAACTATAGCCTTCTACTTTTTATGAGTCCACTCATTTATGTAATAAATCAACCGTGAAAAAAAATTGATAATTGATCAATTTTACCTAAATAACAGTAAACATTATTTGATAAAATAACACATAATGTTGTCAGTCATTACTAATAATAAAAAAAATAATTAGAATTATAAACACAGCTATATACAATATTGACAAACTTTAAAAAAGTAAGTGAAATATATCCTATACTACAAAGAGATTTCACTTATTATTATTTTATATATATATATATAATAATAAAAATAATAATAATAAGATTTTATGCACTTAACCTATATATATAATAATAATAATAATAATAATAATAATAATAATATTATTATTATTATTATTATTATTATATATATAGGGTAAGTGCATAAAATCTCTTTGTAGTATAGGTTTTGTGCACAATGGATCCCTCCTTTTTAAATTTGAGTATCTTCAGTTTCTAATTTTTTTAAAAAAATGAATTTTTAGTCCATGTGTTTTTTTTTTTTTAAATTTGCAAATAACCCCATTCTTACCACTTTTCTTTTTGGCAAAAAATAAATATAAAACCCAATTTTGTCATTTTCTTCCTATTTTTGCCCCTCTCACATAATTTGCATACACCCCAACCCATTTCCTACTCTCTCCCCTGCCCCCATCTCTTTCTTTCTCCATAACTAGATTACTGCTGCTTCTTTTTCTTTTTTTTTTCTTTTTCTTTTTTTGGTGTGTTATTATATATTTTATTTTGTCCCAAACAAACAAACTCCTATAGTAATTGAATAAAATGGTCATTTTATATGGCTTGTATTGTTTACTTATTAATTTATTCTACTGACACAAGGGTATTATTGTCTTAAGGAATTATTTTCACCAAATTAATAATATATGAGGGATTTGAGCCTATATATATACATATAATCAATTATTTTAATTGCATACAGATTTCTGATTGGAAGACGGGCGTTGAATACCTTTGGATGGTTCACAAATTTTGAGGCTTTTAAATTGCGGTTGCTGAATTTTGCAAAGACAGGAACTTATCCTAATTCCAAGTTCTTGGTAACGAGCTATCACTGAGTTGAGTTGGGCTATTAATTTAAATTTTAAACTAAATTTTTTCTTTAATTTTAATTACGAGACACCATTCTTAAAAAACAACCATAAGAAAAATATAATAACAATAAGTCCATAGGTATAGTTTCTGTAAGGTATAGAGATACCATTATTCATATCTCTAAGCTTTTTCCTGATTCTTTCAGCAAAGAAGGTTGGTAAACCATCTACAAATTTTGCTTTCCAGTGCTCATGATTTGCATCATTAAGTTGGAGAACCTTTGCCAAGAATACATCTTTGTACCACCGGAAATGAGTTAAAGATGGACATCGTAGATTCTGTAGAAGTTCCCGACTCCGTTCACTATTAGCGCCTTCGGGGCCAACAAAATGTTGGATAATAGTGGTAATGAGGGTGTAAACCGCATCTGGAGCAGTGCCGGGTTGTTGGGTAGCTTCATCTTTAACTATCTTGGTATCAGAGCCATGATGGCTTAATTTTTTATTGTTAATGCTTATTAGGTACTGGTAGCATGATTATTTTCGTAATTATGTAATGAACAATATGACTATTATTCTGTCTAACTTATGTTTATCCCAGATTCAATTATGGGTCGTCCAAAAGTCGCGTTGGAATGTAAAAGCCCGCTTTTTGCATTAAATTGCTGCACAGGGTATTGTTTCCAGTAAATCGTTGACAGACGAGTAATAGAATCTCTCTTAAGCAGAACGACGACAGAATAGTAACTTACTGTTCATTATATAATATTATAATATTTATACTATGCAGACCTTAAAGCATTAACAATAATTAACAGATATGTTAAAACCATCTTCTTCCTCCTCTTCAGGAGTACAGGAAAACCAGGATTCAGAACTGGTAAAAAATACTGAATTAGTGGAATGGACCAATGTTCAAAATAAATTGAACAGATAGACTATCCCTCCAGTAAGTGCTAAGAGCATTTACAAAATCGGAATGCTTAATTTAACTGATCTATGGACTGTCAAGACCATGGAACAGACCATGCAATTAAGCACTAAGGATACAATAATTAAGTTATTGTCTTCCCGTGACCTTCAGAGGCACATGCACAAAAATAAGTACATCCATATAGGTTTAATTCAAATTGCTTTTAAACCTTTAACTTTGTTAGGTATGGATGCTTGTATTCAAGCAACTCTTCGGGATGCTCAATGTCTGAAATTTCACCCTTCCTTAATGGGTGCACTGGAAACCAGTCTATGCCATGGACCGGTTTATTTTAATGTCTATCCTAGTCTGAATTTATCTTTAACAGATAAAAATATCCATGAGGCCATCAGTCTTCGTGTTCTGACCTATGGGTATGATTATTTACCTGGATCGGAAGTGATAAGTGTTATTTATCGCATCCATTACAAAGTACTTGATACTATGTGTCCAAATGCCATACGCAAAGACTCTAAAGGAGTGACAGCGTTATGGGA